CAGCAAATCCTTCTCATGCTACATCAAACACTATCATTCAAATTGGATTTTTCTTCTCTTTCCTTATTTCCATCACCAGTGGTCATCATTTTGTGGCTGAAATACTACACAATCCTCATGGCTTGTCGAGCTGTTTCATTTCCTATCCTGTGCAGTATACTAGCCCTAGAGACAGGGTTCCTGACCATGTTTCTCCCCAGTTTAAAGAACTCCTCATCCCAGCTGGTTAAAAAATACCTAAATCATTGCCCTGACATGCCAGGTCCCTTACAACAGGGCTGCCTTCCAGCACGATCTTTTTACATGGTCTAGCCAGGCCAAGCCCTCTGAACATCGCATTGCTCCTGGATGTGCCTCATTTGCGCTTTCTTACCCTTGACCCGCTTCTGTTCCCTCTGCCAAGAATAATAATACTTCCTTCTCTGATCAATTCCCACTTATGCTGAAAACCTCACTCAGAAGTTACTTCCTTTGTGAAAAATTACCCAATTTTCCTGATGAGCACAGTCCTCATAGTGTCCTTTCTTATCCTTAAGAGAATACCTGGCACGCAGTAGTTTCACTGTAATATTTATTGTTTATTATCATAATAGTCTTCGAAGATTTCTATTTCCTCATTACCTTGTAACTTCTTGAGGGAAGAGACTGTCGTTTATTATCTCTTTTTCCCAGTGCTTATTATAATGCATAACACATAGGAGGTTATGTACTATAAAATATCCATTTTAAGAATGGATGACACACCTGATGATTGAAAACTATTTTATTTGATTTAATGTATGCTAGAAATGAACTACTGCTCCACAAAATATGTATCATTGTTTTATATGTTTAAACCATAACCACTAACAAAACTGTTTAATTCTCTGACTCATAATGTAAAGTATTATCCTGAAACTTGGAAGGGTGATACTTCAAGTCTTATGTATGCCTTCACTGAATACAGTCTTTCATGAAATTAAATTTTAATGAAAGAAAACAATGTACTGATAATGATGGTAAGTGGTAGAAACGGGAAAAGAGAGCATCGTGTGTTTATTTAACAGCACTCACAGTGCCACTCTGATGTGTCAGGCACCATGCTAGCCATGGGAATGCAAATGAATAAAAAACTCTGCTGCCCATAAAGCATTCCGGGACCATAATGGGGGTGTATTAGTTTCCTAAGGCTGCTGTAACTAACTGAATGGCTTACGATGACAGAAAATGTCCCGCAGTTCTATACATCTAAAGTCTGACTTCAAGTTATCAGCAGGGTCACCTTTCCTGAAAGATGTAAGGAAGATTCTTCTTTGTCTCCCCCAGCTTCTGGTCACCCTGACACTCCTTGGCTTGTAGCTGCAGTATACCTCCATCTAATTTCTTCTTCCTGAGCTCACTGCTATATGTTTTTTAATTATTTAAGTAAGGTTCAACTTAATCCAAAAAGATAAGAACCGGGGTAAACTGTTTGTACAATTCACTTATTATTATATTGGCAAATTTCATCCATATTGTGGTATGTCACTGTGATTTATTGAATTTGAATGCTATGTAATGTTCCTTTGTGTGATATACCGTAGTTCTGTTTTTTCTCTGTTGGCTTATTTTTTAATCCATTCTTCTGTTCGTGGAGATCTGGATGGGTTCATGGTTTGTACAATTGATGAAAAAACTCCTGTGAATTTCCTACAGATGCCTCCTGTCTGCGTACCAGGCTTTCTCTTGGCTGTCTGCATGCGAGTACGTTCAGTGGACATGGACTACACAAACACTCCATCGAGCCTGTGGCTTCATATACCTTCTCTGTTGATCAATAGACTTTCACATTGTGGTTAATTTAGTGGATATAAAGGGCCATCTTTGTATGATCTTGTTTTATATTTTTCTGTTCTCTAAAGCGACGATCTCGTGTGCTCTGTGGTCACAGCTGTTCTCAGTTCTTCCATGAAACAAGTGCTCCTTTCTTCTGGGCCCACTCTGTCAAGTTATCTGTGCTTTTTGTTGATTTGTGGGAGTTCTCTATATATTCTTGATACTTATTTGTGCTGGTTTTGTGGATTGCAAACATCTTCCAACTTTTAATTTATAGCTTGATGTTATAAAGATGCCATTTTGATTAACAAAATCCTTTAAACTTAAAGAGTTAAATGCTCCACTTTTTTCCTTTTATAATCAAGGAATCTTTTTATTCTTAATCGGTAAACATAATCCTATTTTAAAATCCAAAAGACATTCCCATTTAATTTCCATTAAGACACTAAAGGTCATTAATATTTCAGTTTTTAATACATTTGTGGTTGATTATATGTGAGTGTGTATATACCTATAGTGCCCATTTCATCTTTACTCCAAGGATAGCTGTTCTGATTTACAGAAAATACCCTCTGTTTCTGTCTCCTATGCCACACATACCCTGTACCAAAGTTCCAAAGATGTGCTGTTCTGTTTTGTCTACATTCTCAGTCCTATTTCATTCTGTGTGTCCTGTACCAAGATCACAACTTTCTAAGGATTCCTGAAATCATGTGGGGCAGGTTGTTCCTCTTGGCTGTTCTTCAAAAATATTATTATTCATTTGTTCCTCTCTTTAAGATGATATTTTCAAATTCTATGTAAAACTTTTTTGGTATTTTAATTAGAGTTGAACTGAATCTGTAGATCAACTTGGGACTTTTACCTCATCAATGGTGATAGAGTTGGATATGTCCACTTGTATATTTACGATCATTCAGTACATGAAAGCCAAGAAAGATAACACTTCAGAAACAGTAACTGGAGTAATGGTTCCCTGAGGGTGGGAAGAGGTGGGGAGGGAAGAATAGGGAGCGGATAGCATTGGTGACTGACTAACCCCACTCAATGGGATCGAACAACAAATTGTATGTGAATGCATATATTGGATTGTGTAAGATATGGCAAAAAAATATTATAGGAAAAGAGTATTCTTGGGGAATAGGGTGGAGGAGAAAGGGGATTAAGGGGAGCTGATATCAAGGAGCTCAGGGAGAAAGAAAATGGTTTAAAACTAATTATGGTAGCAATTGTACAACATTGCTTGATGTGATTGAACTATGGAATATTATTATATCTGTAAGTACTCCCAATAAAGTGATTGAAAAAAATTCTTCCTATTTATGAACATGGAATATTTCTTAAATTTCCTGTATGGTATTTTGATCTCCCTTGATATAGTTTTCCTCTTTTACCTGTAGGAGTGTTGTACCTCTTCTATTCATGCCTTTTGTCCATGGATATTTAAAATTATATTTACATTGCATTTGTCTTCAGCTTTTCCTTTTTGTATTTATACCCATTTCTAAAGCTGTTATTTATAAATTTTAAGTATGCATGTAGCTAAATGCTTTTGTGAGACATCAAATAATAATACACAGATGCGTTCTGAATTATTTACTAAAATGAGTTTCAAGCAAGCTCCTATCCTTTTAATCCAATCATTTCTTAGACATTTACGTATTCTAGGAGAATTAAGGTAGATTAAAGAGGCCTGATGATGTCATGGGCTCTGAGTTTGAAACCACCAGCTGTTGCCCAGGAGAAAGAAGAGGCCCCCAGTGTCAAATCCACCTTGTCCTAGGGGGTGGCTGCGTGTCAGAATCCACTTTATGGCCCTATATGTTTGCATCGAGGTTAGGTTTTATAAAAATGATTTATAACATTTTGGTTATGTAAAAGCAAAACAAGTGTACTGTATATTATTTTTCATCTACAAATTATATTTCAGTATTTTATGGGAATAAAGAGAAAGAGGAAGAATAAAGATTGTCTAATGGTTTAGTGTTTAACCTCATAGACATTTTGTGCACAGATAAGAGACGATGTCTCAGCCTACATACGGATTGTTTGCTTAGTTATTGTCATCATTAAATAATAGAGAGAGTTAGAAATGAAGTATCAGGTATAAATAATATGTTTTTTCTAATAAAATTGCATTTCTTTTCACTTATGGGCCCACTGCAGCTGTCAAATTATGAAATGTGACTCCATAATTTATTCATTATTGGATGAAATAAAGTTAGCCAAATTTTACTGATTTTAATTTTTTGTGGTTTGGAGTAAAATGGACTATGCAATACCAACTCCCAGGTTTCTTTGGCTGCACAAAAGTCATTGGGAAAAGCCACTAGAAGAAAAATTCAGCTGAGATTATATAAATTAATGTTAATCCTGGGCAAGCATTTCTGATAGATTTACTGTGTCATAAATGGACGTAATGTAGATTTTTTCACTACTGTTTTCCTATTGTCACCAGCAAATTTACATGCGAAAGACGACAAATACACATACAGATTATATTAGAGAGAGACGATACTTATCTTCTTTAATCAGTATGTAGAATACAATCCCAAAAGGAATGTGACCGGAATAATTTCAAAAGTAGGAAAATATATACTCACGTATAAATGATCTGCAGTCTCAGTTCTAAAATTGGCCCGTGGCAATACACATAGAGTCTTTTAACTGAGGATAAATTTAGCTACCTTTTTAGTTTTCAGTTAACTTTTTTTTTCCTTTTCTGGGGAGAATTAATGTTATTTCAATTCAACATAAAGAATTTTGAGTAAAATGAAATGCAAAAAAATGTATAATTGAAACATTAGAAAGCCATGTCTATAATCACAAATGGACTGTCAGTTCATAAAATTTTACCATCTAACCCAAGAGAAAAGCTGTTCTTCCTTGTGAAGATTAAATTCCGGAATGGTGGGATAATCTATATTTACATACATTTTTACTTCGGTCATATAAGTTTTCATGTGAACACATCGCATTAAAAATACAGCATTGTGCAAACTGCTTTTCAATATTTCTACCATCAGTATTTACTATTGCATCATTCCAAAGGATTAATTTTATTAGAAACATGCAAAGCAATACTGTGAAATAGGAAAGGTTCTATGTTATTTGTTTTGTTGTTGGCTTGAATTCCCCTCTGTTTAAACTATATAAAAGATGCAGCCAAAAAAAGAAATGATAACAGTTTGTTTAAAATTTTACAGTAAAGAAGAATCATCCGTGGCACCAAAAGGGATTAACTTTGAAAACCCAAAGACTCCAGGTAATGCTTCTTTAAATTTTAAGCAGAATCTCTTTTGCTACAACCTACAATTTAAAAAACTCATTGTGTCTAATTATACTAACTTTTCAGAGAGTTGTGTCCCAACAATTGTTTGTTCTTCGGAGGACAAGGAAGACCTGGGAGGCAGTCGTCAGAATGTAAAAGATGTCAACAGAGAGCATGACGAACGTAATGAAACAGAATTGGAGTTGATGGTAAGTGTTCTGGTTGCCACGGCATTAGAGAAGATGAATCCATTTATGCTTCAAAGATGCTGCGATGCCTGCCTTGCCATTGCTTCCCCTAATATAATGTGCAAATGTGCACGCACAGCTTACGTCTGTCCTGCGTCTTCAGCTTGATCAACAAGGTACCTTGATTTCAGGATGTTGTTTCCAGTCTCTGCAGTGGTAAATTAATGACATTCGCTTCTTATCTTTTTACAAGCGGCTCAGCGTAATAGTTTGTACGAATTATAGGAGAGGTAGTACCATCCTGATGTGCATTTCTAATCTTTGTGACAAGTGTACACTTAGCATCAACTCCTCATCTGTAAAACGAGAGGGCTGAACTAGACGATTGTTAAATCTGATCCTACACGTCTATGGTTCTTGCATTAGCATCGTTTTTATTGACCCCCATCCTTCCAAGATTCTCTGAGTGTAGCGGAGTCTTCAATTACTTAGCGAGAAGGAAATAGCCTATGCCCTATTTTTAAAGTAGGAAACAAATCCTGTACTGTACAATTTAGTATTAAATTTGTTAGCATACATTTCACACTTGGTGAACATTCAATCTATTTAGAATTTGGGGGAATGCTTTAGCTGCGATCTTTTTTCTTTTTATCACAAAGGAAGAAATAGCAGCAAATGAGTCACATCTTGTAATTTCTCCTTGACTGCATTTGGTTGGCACCCTGGTCATTGAGATACACGGATTCATAATCATCTAAGATTAAAATGACGTTTGACTTTTCAAGTGTCAGAAAGACAACTGAACTCAGAAACATAGTTCATCTCTTTCCCCAGACCTTCACCTTTTCTCTAGTGACACGGAACCTGCGTCACTGAAGTATGCAGTTTACTTTGCTCCAACTTTAAGAAACTACAAAGTTGTCACCCATTGTGAGAATTCTCACCAGCTGAAAGTTAACATCACCATTTTTTTTCAAACCTCAGAATATAATGAAAGGGCTCTGAAAATCACATGCTTCACCAATACACCTCATTACAATGAGCAGGCTCAAATCTAAAAGTTTGTTTAGAAGTTGCAGAGATTGTACGTCCAATAAATGAACAGGGAGCTGTAATTTAGATGCTAATTTGCTCCATGCTGACGTTAATGCATAAAGCAATGAAGCTCTATAATAGATGGAAATACAACCAAATCTGTGGAACCCACAGGCATTGGCTTACAAGACAGCTGTGCAGTTGACAAGTAACATGAGCCTTATGTGAGAAGAAGGGGAAAACGTAAGATTTGCATATAATTATTGAGATCATGCAAATGTCAGTTATGAGGAGAAAAAAAAAACACACACACAGGCATCTCACTGTTCCATCCTGACAGTTGGCATCTCTGAAGAGCTCAAATACATTTGAGTACCAGTTGGCAGAGGGTCATTAAAACAGAATTTGCAGAGACATTAACTCCCTCACTTTTCTTTGAGTGACGTTTTGCTATTAATAGTTTGCAGAGGCTTTGCAGAAAACATATTAATAAGAGAAACGGTAATGGGGGCACCTACAGCAAGTGTAAATGCAGCAAGGGGCACCCAGGAAGCTGCTCTCTAATTGATTAGCATGGAGCTATCAATGTGCATATCCTAAGTGAGGAGAAAGTGCAATGACAAGCAAGAAGAGTTGAATAATACAATGTGATATTTGGAAGTTGGGAAGGAGAGTGATTAATTTGAGCCCCTTTTCTTATTAATCTCATTCCCAAATCATACTCCACAAGGATCTTCCCCAAACATCTGGCTTCCAGGGTTTGTAGGCAATTTGCAATGATAATGAGTCAAGGAAATCGACTAGATAATTACTAATGTGGCGTTAATAAAACCCAGATATTTTGTATATTTAAAAAGATCAGTTGGTCTTCACTTTTTGTTTTCTGTTTTTTTTCCATCCCTTAAGATAAATGAACACTTAATACAAAGTAGAAGTGCTTCCACCAGAGGTGAAAAGAATACATTTTCAACAGACCCAATCAATTTATCAAATCAAGCTGAGGGATCAGTGAAGAACATCTACAGTGGAATGTGCACTGACTCGTTCCTGAGGGCTTTGTCCCCAAGCGCATCTGCAGAAAGCTCCTTAAAGCGAGATTTTTGCCACGATGAAAAGTCTTCCAGAGGAAACGAGTGTGGTTATAAACTTTCGGAGGAAATTACGTCAGGTATGGAAGAAATCAAGTCATCTTGGGAAGATGCTAGTGGTGGTGAATTAAAGCCATCATGTACTGGCAGCAAGGAAGAATTGGATGATAATGCGAATCCAGCCCATGAGAGGGGCGCAGGATGCGTAGCCTGCCCTTTCTCAGAGCAACGAATGGCAGGCAGCCTTCAGAAAAAACATAAAGGAAGCGATAAGAAAACGGAAACAAAAGCCAGGGAAAGCTTAAGGAGAGATTTATATTCCGATGAATCTGTGTATGCAGAAGAACCCACAGTGAAAGAATCTTCCAAAAAAGATGATGGCCGGAGTGAGGGCGAGGGCGAGGAAAGAGCAGGTTTGTATCTTCATGAAAGAGGAAACAGCTTTCAGTCAATCTTTCATGGCCCCCAAAGGAAGACAGGCTTCCTGGAAGCGAGTATGGGGGTGACGGGAGCTAGTAACCCAGAGCCAACTACTCTGTCAAGCAAAGAGACCACAATTCCCAGCCAGGAGGTGGATACGGTTAGCTCACCAAGGACATATTTAAGCTGGGAAAAAGTCGTGTTTACAGCCCCAGAGCATGACGTCACCACCAGCGTAGGCACCCCTTTGGGAGGCATCCCCGGAAAGGTTTCTTCACCAAGAAATGGAAATTCTTTGAAGAATGATTCTCCTTTCCACGTTGAGGAAGAAAAATCAGATTGCGTTAATCCTGAAGATCAGAATAAGAACATACAGCATAAACACAATTGGAATGTTCTGGAAAGTCAGGGCGATGCAAGAGGGAGTCAGACAAATGTAACAGAGCAGACCAAAGGCCAAGCGCCTGGTGAGGACACGTGGGGAAAACGAGATAACACAAAGTACTTGAAAGGTACCCCTCCGGAAGACTGGTTTACCTGCCAAGACTCAGGGAGCTGTGAACTGTCTTCTCTAACTGATCTCAGTACTTCCGAGAAAGCAGGTACGGCTTATATAATTAAGACCACATCAGAAATTCTTCTAGAAAGCATGTCTGTTAGAGAAAAAGCAATAATTGCTAAGCTACCTCAAGAGACAGCACGAAGTGACAGGCCCATCGAGGAAAAGGAGGCGGCGTTTGATCCACATGAAGGGGGGAATGATGATTCACATTATACCCTTTGTCAACGAGGTACTGTAGGTGTAATCTATGACAATGATTTTGAAAAGAAATCACATTTAGGTGTTTGTAATGTACATGGAGATGAAACGGAGAAGGAAGAAACCACGTCTGAGTACAATCCTGGGAAGACACGCGACAGGGGGAAAAGAGGCATTGGAAATATCACACCCGTAGAAGAATTCTCACAGGTCATTACAGGGCACCGTAAAACAGCTTCGAAACTAGATTTACATTTGAAAATGTTGCCAACAGATGAAAAAATATTTTCAGAAAATAGAGATCATGGGCATGTCCAAGAATTATCAATGAAAACAGATTTCCATTCGACTCCTTCGGCTTTTAACTCAGGCACTAACAGAGCTTCTCAGAATGGTTCTCACATTTCCAATCACCATGTTACAACTTCAATGCCATCTTACGAACAGGCAACTGGCGTAGAGAATCCAATTGCTACCATGACTAGCCAATCTATTTCTACCGAATCAGACTATAATTGCAAACCGACAAGTGAAATCCAGGGTAGTGAAAAGTACGCACAACCTGAGGGAAATTTTAACAAGTTGGGAGTAGTGTCATCCAGTAGTCGGAAAGAAATATGTGTAGACCAGAGAGAAGGCAGTGCAGAAAAATCTCTAGGGCCAGTGATATTAATCAGCGAACCTATGGAAAGCATGGAAGAGGCCAGATGTGGACATGAAGGATCACAAAAGTCTGGACAATCATTAGCCTCTTCAGGTGACAAGGAATGTAACAATATTGCCTCTCTTAGTGTCCCATCCCAAGAAGATCACGCTCAAAGCAGTGAATCTCTGCTTTCAAAATATACCAACTCTAAAATAGCTTATATTCTTTTGTTTCTGGTATTTCTTGTTTCCATCTACCACTTTGACCTAATAACTGGCTTGGCATTCTACCTTTTATCGTTGTACTGGCTTTACTGGAAAGGGGAGAGACAAAAGGAGTCTGTCAAAAAGAAGTAACCCTGGTGATATTACCAGTCTCTCTTAAAATGAAGGCTATTCAGCCCCAAACATTTGGACTGGTGAAAGAGACTATTCATTGTTCAAGGAGCGAGTGCAGTTTCTCTCGAAGGATCATTTAAAAAGGAATGCGTATGAAGTTTGCTCCTTCATATAAGTAATTATTCTATATAGGACCATTATGTTTGGATCATTAAATACCTATATGAATATGAGATCTGAAGCACGTCAAGTTGAAATTAGGTACAGCTGTTGCTCCTTAGCAGGTTATGAAGTTGCAATGCTTCACGTCTCTTCACTACTTAAAGTGCCATTTCTTGCATCCATTTCTTTTGCAGTAAAGCTTCATTTTTTCCCCCGAGAGTATTTTTCCCCTTCCAGTTTTTAAAAATAGATAAAACATGGACAATGCCAGGAGGGCTTTTTTTGTCTTTAGTATTGAACATGGACTGTACATTTACCCCTGGATCATTTATCATCACATTTTGGTAGATCAAATCTTTCACCTTGCATTTCATATGTCTAAGAGCAACACTCCTGAACATTGAAAAGCGTAAACTTAAGCAGAAGAAACACAACATGTTTGCATGGAATAGTGCTTTATACACACATCCTTTGTATTTCCTCTTCACCTAACGCAACAGAGCCTCACGAGGCAAATCTGACCATGACTGAGACAATTGCAAGATTATCCTTTGATTCTGCACCGTTTTGTGGGCTGCCTGTCTTTTAGAAATAGTTCTCCCTTATAAAAGGATACTGCTAACCCCGCTGATCAGTTTCAAAGTCAACTATTTTTAGGAATTGAAGCTTAAAGGCAAAGCCCCACACGCATTGCTTCAGATTTTGCAACCATAAAACATACAGTATTATGTTTTACAGTTACAAAACTTAACCTTCTAAATAAACCCTATCATACATATTTGCAGCAAGATAATAATAAAAGAGGTTTACAAATGAACTATTTGTTTTATTTGGACGCATTTTTGTTTTCAAAACCCAATGTAACCAATTCGTAGTATGGAACAGTAAATCGTCACACAAGGTGCATTTAGAAACAAAGAGTGCCTTTTTGGTGGCATTTGTTATGTGGCTGTCAGCTTGTTAGGAGCTCACACAACTTTAAGTAGGCAAATAGGTAGCGTACGAATCAGGGAAAGAAGTGAAAAACTGCTGTCAGAGAAGTTTGGGCTATTATCCTTGGCTAAGTGTATGAAAAAATGGCACCAAACATTTTAGCCATGTAGAGATAATGCAAGGATTCACACTCAATAGAGTAACAACCCTTGCACTTTGCTCTACGGCAAGGCACTTCTGTACTATGCATTCAAGCAGTGGTTCCCCACCTTCCTAACGCCACGACCCTTTCATACAGCTCCTCATGTTGTGGTGACCCCCCAACCATAAAAGTATTTCTGTTGCTACTTCGTAACTGTCATTTTCTTGCTGTTATGAATCAGGCGACCCCCGTGAAAGGGTGGTTCAACCTCCCAAGGGGGTCGCGCCCCACAGGTTGAGAACTGCTGCGTTAAAGTGAACCTCAGAGAGGAGACAGGCATGTACTGTGATACTTTTGAACAGACTGAAACAACGGAAGCAAATCACATAGAAAAAGTCTTCTTGGAAGATTCCTTTTTCGTGGGAACTTCTTTGATACAGAGCATAACATTGATATTCGTAGAAGTAAAGCAATGTGTGTGTGCCTCAACTCAATGAGCAAAGCCTGCCTATGCATATAATTCTGCATAACTAAGGAATATGCATTTATGGGGAGCCAAAATGAAAACGAAGAGCTTAAGCTACTTTTGCCTGGTAATAAATGAGATTCTTAATTTTCTTCAGGTTAGCAACTGTTTCCAAATCCCCCTTTGCAAGCATTCCTTAAGTCCCATTCAAACTGAGTGCTTGACTTCAATGGCTCAGTAGAACAAATACAAACATCCTGAAGTAGAACTTAAGGCAAATATTTGATTATTTGACAAAGCATATTTTCATTAAATACAAGTGGAATGCTGTAGGCATTTCCTAGAATGTTATCTCTAATATTGCTCTCCTGATAATTTTGTTGGCACATAAATTACAATGGAGCTAAAGGTAGCATTACTTTATTTTTTATGGTCTGGATTTTGCATTCTACTTTAAGAGTTTTAGTTAACAGACCCTATCCTATCGATGCAAAGAATAATACTACATTACTTTATGAACACAGGTGCCTATATGTGACAATTCCCTTTATAGAACCATGTAATGTCTTTTATCTTTTTTATTTGACTTTTCATAAGTTTAACCTTCTAAGCCCTATCATACATATTTGTAGCATGACAAGAACTGTTGCAAAAGATTTAAACTTTGTTATTGGATACAAAAAGGCTTCAAAAAGTTTCTGGGGAAATTCCATTATCTTTCAATTCCAGTTTTCCAGGAACCTTTCAAAGCATCTTTCCATTTTCCTGAAAGGTAGAAATAATTGGTGATCTGATGCCTTTCCAAAGACTACTTATAAAGAGCTTGAAATAAAGTCCTCCTGACTCATAAAGCTATTGCTAGGTAGAGAGATGGATTTTTGAAACTTGCTTTTTTGGGGTGACTTCATTACATTGAATAAGACAGAATGATCTTCGGGAGCTCTGAAACGTCATGATGAGAGTGCCTTTATTACCATAGCTGCCTTCACCATGTTTCTCCAAGGATTGGTTAAGTGCCTCCCCCCACCCCCACCACCCAAAGGGCATTTCAAGAAGGAAAGCCAAGAGTTACCCTGTACAATGGCTTCCTAAACTGGGGAAGAATGGCAACATAATAGTCATCCCCTTGTGTCTCTCTGGGGCTTTTGACTATTAGAAATTGTGTTCTAAACATATATTAACAAGTTAAGAAACTATAGTTAGTAAAACATTTACTTTAGAAAAGTTTTTATATGAACTATTTAAATAGGAGGCTTCTCAAAGTCAGTAAGATGACACCACCCTTCAGACTTAAAGACGGTTGGATCAGGCTGGTGTTTTTGTCTCCCCGTGGAGTGGAAATACACTGATGCTTTCCTGGTTAAACAGAAAACTTAAAAGTAGCCAGACCAAGATGGGTCAGTAAATAGCATATTTCAGTTTTCTCAACTAGTATTTATAGTTCTTTCTTACATCTTATTTGTATTCCTGAATATTGCTACCGGTCATCAGGCCTGGTGTCTTCTGTTTTAGGTGTATATTTTGCACACAAAGCAGTGTAACCAAACACAACACTGGAAAAGCAGCATCAGAACGAGCAACACTCGGATGGCATAGCTAGTGCTTCCAGTGCTGGTTCATCTACTGCGCTCTGCACCAGGGTCTCTGATTTCATTGAATGAAGAAATGGAACTACTTAACAGGGGTCGCTTCTATTATTTGAACCTGATTCAGCCATTTCCGATGGAACTGAGGAATAAGATTGATTTGAGTCTTTCTTCAGCAAGATATGAAACAAATATGACATCACGTTTCTCCAGCATCTTCACCATTACATGTCATTTATGATGAATTCAAAAAGCAAAACAACAACAAATAAAAAACTTCGTGACATCCAATGGATCATGACTCATAATGACACTGTAGGACAGAGGAGAACTGTCCCTGTGGGTTTTCAAAGCTGTAGAGCTTGACTGGAGCAGGAAGCCTCATCTTTATCGCGAAAAGACTTTTTTTTTCCCTAGCAGTCTAACTTTCAGTTAACAGCCCATCGTGTTACCACTACTCCCCAAGGGCTCATATCCAAATGAACAGAACTGCTTAAAAATGTCTTATTTTTATTTATTTGAATAAGTTCATTTCTGTACTTTTTCTATTTTCAGAAATAATTCTTAATAAAAATCATGGCAGCACAACTGGCTTTTCACCTGTTAATTAAACTTGGCCACTAATCCAATATGTTTTTCTTTCTCCAAACCTTTTCAAATGGCGAATCTAATTTTCACTAGTCTTTGAGCCTCACTGTGATTGCTTACATGTTATATAAGAAATGCCAAAAATGTTCTAAAACATCCACCTTTTGAAATGTTCTGTCATTTCTGTTCTTTTATTTGTTAAAGGCATAAATATGATCTTCAATTTTCAAAGTACGAAACAATAAATTTTGAAAAATTTTAACAACAAAATCCTTAAGTCATTTATTTGAATATCCAATTCTTCATATACGTGATAATAAAGTAAAGAGGGATATAAGCAAATCAAAAGTGGACTACAGGCAAATTGGTTTTTATTTGGCTATGATGTCTCCATGACCGGATTTTGGCCCCAGTGTTTGGTGCCTAATTAAGTTATTTGTTTTGGATAAAAGTGGTGTGTCTTCTAACTTATTACCCACCTGAGGTTTCCAGCCTCATTTCCCATTATTTCTTCCTCATCCCTCCGCATTTCATGCTCACTTGTTCCTCTATAACATCCCTTCTACCAAGAAAACACGTTAAGCCTCCTCTCTGCCTCTCAGGTTCTACGAAGCCTTCTATGTCTAGCTCAAGTTCCCAACTTCTTAAAACCGTCTGCTGTGTCAGTGGAATCCCTCTGCACTCAGATCTTCACTGATATTTAGCGCTTCTTCTAGTTTGTATTGGGCATTTGACTCATCATTTTGCCCAGATTTTCACCTCCTTCAGGAAAGAGGCAAGAATTTCCACAACCCTTCTATCAGTTTGGTGTGAAGGTCTGTAAAGATCCGCAATCAACACTCGCAAAATAGTAATTGATACATTGCAGGAGGGTTTCTTTCTCTCTTGCCCCAGGAAATATGTCAATGGGCTCCTATTTAGAAATGAACACTTTTAGTCAAGAAAAAAACTAGGATGCTTTAACCAACTCCTGAAGATAAGGTAAAAAGAGGCAAAGAAAACATGGAGTGACCAGAGAGGGGAGTATAATGAATATTGGACATGAGGAAGGGAGAAATGAGTATGTTTCTTCTTATTATCAATTAAATTGGTTTTGTGGGTTTATTAATGCTGCCCAGTGCAAGAAACGTTTCCTCATTTTCCTTGCATGAAATAATACACAGATTCTGCATTAAGCTATATAGAATGCATTCTTGAAACCATTGGCTTGTGGGATAATCAATAGAAAAAATGCTTTTACATAAAGTTGGCCAGTAGCTTCAACCCCACAAACATCACAAGGCACTAAGTGCAAGAAACTCAATCCTCCGACTGCTGCCATGTCCTTCGAAAACGGTTCATCTGCTAATTTCACACCTGCACCATATATCAAGTTCTCAGGTAAGCAAATCTAATCAGAACTAGCAAAAATAAGTCAGTGAATTTTTGCAAAAGAAACTATTTTCCTGGTTAACACATATGCTAGTGTGTGAATGTATACATTATATATGCCAATCTTATTATATTATTCCAATATCCTAAAAATGACAGTGGCAATGAAAATATTAATACTGTGTAGAATTATGTCTCTAATGTGTGATGTTTGATTCTTTCCTTGAAGAAATTAATTCTATCACATATCACAAAGATATGCCTATTTTTGGGATGGAGTTCAAAGGCAAAGAGTGTATGTCCTGGAAATAAAGTAGCATATGCAATATGACAGCTTAAAACCTCCAGCAATTAGCCTCTAAGACTTACACAACAGTCAGGTATATGCCTACTCTATGGTAGAATTCATCGATATAACATGTCGGTTGACTTAATTCTGAGTGGAAACAGATTTAAAATTTCCTAAAGACACACTCTATAAGATATAATAATTTAATATTTATAACATAAAATACACTTTAT